TCCCCAAAATTTTCAAAAAAAAATTCTAAGTCCAAAAAAAAAATCTCTAAAAAAAATTTTCTAAGTCCCCAAAATTTTCAAAAAAAAATTCTAAGTCCAAAAAAAAAATCTCTAAAAAAAATTTTCTAAGTCCCCAAAACTTTCAAAAAAAAATTCTAAGTCCAAAAAAAATCTCTAAAAAAAATTTTCTAAGTCCCCAAAACTTTCAAAAAAAAATTCTAAGTCCAAAAAAAAATATCTAAAAAAATTTTAAGTCCCCAAAGTTTTCCGAGAAAATTGGGAAAAATTAGTTCGGCACGAAAATTCAAAAAAAAAATTCAAAAAAAAATCTTTCAAAAAAAAATTTTCGAAAAAAACAAATTTTCAAAAAAAAAGTTTTCCACATTAAAATTTTAAACTGGTGTCCTAAACGGTTTGTCCTAAACAGGGAAAGAGAAAAACTACGGTATCCGGAAGAGAAGAAATAAACAAGGGAAAACTACCCCTTCGGTATACTTCTTGGCAGTGTGGTCTAACAGTGAGGTCTGCAGAAAAGTCCCTGCTCGGGCGCCATTTGTGACAAGTCTCCTGATTCACCTACAGTGCTTCAGCGAGTCTGTGGCGCTATGAATGTAATTCCCGAATAGGGGTTGCTCAGGCGCCAGTTTTGATATCGCAGTTTGCTCTGCGGCCCTGGGGTGCACGTAGAGTACACCCTCGGTAGACTCAGTGGAGTCCAGGTACAAATAAAAAATAAAACGGATAGACCTTCGCTGTTAAGTTGACCTACACTGGGGTGGTAAAGTAAATAAAGTTTTTCACTACACTTTTACCTATTAATCACTACGCCCTGAAAACGGAAAAAGCAAAGGCGTAATTCAAAATTAAACTCAGGAATTTCAATCAAAAATATATTTACAACATAAATGAAATAAATAATAATTAAAATAAAATAAACGGGGTGATATCGGTATATATTTATCTGTTTAATAACGGTAATAAAATAAATGTAGAATTATGTATGTTGATAAAATAAAAGGTCTCGGTATTTACAGAAAATGATAAAACGGTAAAATTAACTATGACCTATACTATACCCATAAGAAAATAAAATTAACAATTTTCCCTTTAAAAAAAATTAAAACGGTGGGCACTAACACCCTTAGCACAAATTCCTTGCTATTAATGAAAACGGCCGGCTTTAGCCATAAGAAAAAAAATCTACCATAATAAAACTAAATATGGTTCAAACTATACGTTTTAAAAAATAAAAAATAATAAGTTACTCTCAGTAATAAAAATATCAGTAATCGGCCAATGGTGGTGAACAGTATCACCCTCCACTCATGAGAGAAAAAAATGACGGATGCCTTTGTAAAAAACGACGCCTAATATCCTCCCCGCAATATTATTTTACTAGGCACAATAGACCAAATAACGGGTGTCTTAACGCGGTATTATTCGACCAATACTTTGAGAATTTTATTTTATTTATTCGGTTTCAAGTTTCTCTTATGTGGAGATCTGGGATTCCATAGTTTCCACAGAACAGAAACGGCTGCGACTCTCGACAGGGATAGCAAGCGAATACCACTATCATCCCTTGGTTAACACGAAAATGGTTGAAGGGCACTAACGCCCCGGATTTAAATACAATTCGTTACCCTGACAGGCACTAAGAAATCAAAAATATCGGTCGAATAGCTCATGTAATTAATAGTACGGAAGTGAATGTTACAGGGAGAATTATTAGACGGAATTTTAAATAAAAAGGCCTACCTTAATTAACTTCTCAGCAAAATCGCTTTGCGGTATAATCGGCACTACAGCAAGGCAACTTTTATTCTCCAACTCACGGTAACAGCAGGAAAAGAGAGCTCCTTCATCGCAAACATCTAGTTTTATCAGAATTCGTACTTTTGCCGGAGTGGGGCGGTAGCCCCACCTAGAGGAAATAAATTGTTATTGCAAAAAAACGTTAATTGATCAGCTTACTGATAAAATCTACTACTATTGCAATTTTACGAGACGATTTACATTAATGTGATATTGAAAAGTTTTAAACTACGAGGGCTCTTGTAAAGATTTAAAAACGGTAATTCTATGGAAACATTAGTTACAGGGGGTCTTGAAAATGTTCATAGACGGAAATTAATTTTAGAAATTAATTTATGGAATAAATTAATGGGAATTTTAGTGACTTCGTCACAACACGTACGTTAAAAAACGTCGAAAACTGGTTGATTGATAACCAAACGTATATGAAAGAGTTCAAATGTCGCGAAAAATAACGTTATTCACAAACACAAATTGCATTTAAAATTAACGTATGTTTGTAACGTTTTATGTTACCATTAAGATAATAGAATCAAACGTTAAATTTTACATAGTTTCTAATATGAAAAAGAAGAAATATCGGTTGATTTTGAATAAAAAATGTATTATAATTTCGTCATATTACAACGGTTTTATTTTTCCGTTTTCTTAACGTTACTATATTACGTATTTTCAAGTGATTCTATAAACGTTTATATGCCAACCAAATAATCTTTTTTTATGTATTATTTACACGTATATTTTTAAACAACAATTAAATGTTTATTATTATGCAATAGTTAAATGTTGTAAAACAACTCTTTATTTAAACTTCCATCTAAAATCAAAGTAATTTATAATAAATAAGTTCAATATAGTATAGACTAAAGCAAATATACAAATATGAATATGCTTCTTTTGTCTTGACTGAACTAACGTTCATAAAGTTTCATTATATCATTCGTAACGCTTACGACTTAGAGAGTTGGAACAGTCTGTTTTTCGGTGCGCCTTCTCTTAGAACGCTAAAAGGTTTAAATACAATAACGTTTTTTGTACGACTTATGTTCATTGTAAATTAGCGTTAATATTTTATGTATATTTAACAAAATGATCGGCTTTTAGTTACATACCAACGTTTAAAAACAATATTAAAATATACTTAAGTAATTAATAATGAAAAAACGTAGATATTTAGTTTCCGTTATTAACCAAATGTTAAAAGGTTGGAATTCAATAACGTTTTCTAAGACTTTAGCATTTAGCATTTAATTTAAACTAACGTTGATATTATATGTATATAATATTAACATAAATAAATAATAAACAGTAAAACAACGTTAATTTTTAGTTTAAAATATAACGAAACAATAACATTTTGAATAAGACTTTTATGTAATTTAAACTATCGATAATATTACACGTATATTTAACAAAATTTTTACCTTTCGGTAGAACTACAAACGTTAAAAAAATAACAGGAATTTAGCTAACAGAAGCTTAATTTTTAACTGGTTATATTTAAAGTACAAATGTCATTTTTAAAATTATGTTTAATAATAATCGATGATAATACAACGAGGTTGACAGTGTAAAGTAAGATTTCATTTTAACTGCCTTATGTTTAATTTAAATTAACGTTAATATTATATGTATATTTAAAAAAATGTATAACTATCCATTACATAACAACGTTAAAAAATATTAAAATATAGTTAATTAACCAATATTAAAATAACGTTTATTTTTAGTTAAAAATATAAACCAAACGTTTAAATTTTCCAATACAATAACTGTTTTGTTGCGACATTTATGTAAGTTAAACTAACGTTACTATTAAACGTATATTAAACAAAATTTTTAACTCTCGGTAGAACCACAATTACATAACAACGTTTTAAAATGATATTAAAATATACTTAAATAAATAATATTAAAATAACGTAGATATTTGATTTACATTATTAACCAAACGTTAAAAGGTACGAATACACGAACGTTTTTTATAGGACATGTATTTAATTTAAACTAACTTTAATAATATACGTATAATTAACAAATCCATTAACTTTTAGTTACATAAAAACGTATAAAAATATTATTAAAATATAGTTAATTAATTAATATGGAAATAACGTATATTTTTAGTTTAAAAAATAAATTAAACTCTGAAATGTTTTGATACCACAACGTTTTCAATACGATTTTTATGTAATATAAAATAATTTAAAACGTATTATTTTATTAAAACTTCAACATTCAGTTAAAAATACGTTAGAAAGTAGTATTTTTTATACGTATTTTTCAACTAAAATTTTAACGTTGAATTTTCAACCAATAACGTGTTTTATACCGTACAACGTTATATTTACGTTGAAAAAACGAGTGTGTGCTCATTGGGTAACGATTGGTAACGCCTTAATTTGAATAGTGGCAGCATGGAAAAACGTTTCAACCAAAACAACTGAAAAGTATTTCATTAGGTGAGCTATTTTAAAAAACGAAAGTGATGGAGAAGAAATTGTGGAAAACCTGTAGCTACAGGACTTGGAAGACGATTTGCCATTGTCAACCTTTTGCGAAAGTAACGGAGAAGAACATTTTTTGATTTACGTGGAGACTGATGCAACCCTATTAACGGAAAATCCTGAAGTAAACTAAGCTAGTTGTGTTAGTGCTTTTAAAGAAAACTAACAGGTGTTTAATGTTTCCGACAATGACAGTGACGATGAACTAGAAATTACTACAACTGTAATTTAAATGATGCTTACATAAAATTAAGAAACTTAAAATATTATTTTATACATAAAAGTGATGCAATAGTTAGTCAAAAAATATCTAAATGTTGAGTCAGAAATTTGAAAAAAAAAACTAAATTGATTTTTTTTAAGAAGTAATACCAGCTTTTTTACATCAGTATTTTATTTGTGTTTTATTTCTGTATATGCATATTCGAAAGTGTATAATTAAAGATCAAGTAAACAGAAACCTCTTTTCTATTTCAACTGATTTAACGACAACTCCTCACAACGGAAAAGTCTACACAATGGACAATTAATATTTTTCCCCGTTGGTGTCCATTATGGATGTCCTTTATATGTTTCGTCTGCTTTGCATATACTCTGCTGTGAGAAGCTTCTAGGTTCCACAATAAAGTTTGTCTTCTAGTATCATAATATAATATTGTATCTTTGCTTATTTTTCAGAAAGGAGAGTAGAATGAAATTAGCTGCCTTAGTTTACATTTTATTTATCACAAATGTCAAATCAGATGTAGAACCTTTGGTACAAACTTCGTTAGGGACCGTTAAGGGAGCCATCCTTATTTCTAGACTTGGACGGCAAATTTACTCATTTCGAGGAATTCGGTATGCTAAAGCTCCCGTCAATGAATTAAGATTTCAAGTAAGTTTGAAGGAAGTTATATTTTATCAATTATAAAATGTATTTTGTTTATTTTAGCCGCCTGTTCCAGTAGACAAATGGGAAGGAATTTATGATGCTACCAAAGATGGACCGTTATGTCCTCAACCTACATCGAGTCCAACATCAGAAGATTGTTTAATTCTAAAACGTTTACACTACTAAAGTAAGTATATGGAGGTATGGCGTGTTGCACCTAAAATAAAGTTATGAAAACTATAGGGTGATTTAGAGCTGAAATATATTTTATCTGATTCTGTATTTGTAACGTGTAAAGGGCGGATTGCCTTACGGCACATATGCCTCAATAGGTTCATTGTGCACCCTCCTAACTCGATAGGTCAATCTTAGCTCATCAGCCAGCCTACCGATTTAATGTAGTGATAACGTCGCCGAGAGGTGCTTCTCTTATATCAGTCGGTGTTAAACAATACACGACGAATACAAATCTCATAATAAATTAGAGTATCAGGCACTCATAGAGGATATACTCCTTTTCTTGTTCGCACTTTCTACAAAGTATGCATTCTGACAGCCTCATAATATGGAGTTGCTTATGTACTTGGCAGGAACCATGTGTCTACTCATAGTCAAGTGTTTGCTGCAGTGTTGTCGGGATAACTTTAATATCATTTAGTGCCCAATGATGAAAATTTATTTAATTTTTGAGTTTTTTAAATTTTTATATTTAGATTGTATTTTATTAGCCATTTGAATTTTTTTTAAATTTTTGATTCTATATTGAAAATTTTCAAAAAAGGACCATCGGGATATAAGTACCACAACATCTAAAAAACATTGGTCAAGAAATGAGTACGTATCAAAAATATTAGAACACTTTGAGAAGCAGACAAGTTTGATTTAAAAAAAAAATAATAAAAGATAGATACAAGAATGATTTACATTTCGTGATATCCTACAAAACAATTTTTATTTAATTCGAACATAAAAAACCTTACAGATTGCACCTTTCGCATCTCAATTTATTTTTTTCATATAAAACCCACTGTGATCCTAGGTTTCCAAGACGGATATCATCTGGAACACTATAATTATATTTTCAATGTTTGGGAATTGAACCTATTCTTTTCTGTTAGAAGAATAGGCCATGATTCCCAGAGAAACAAATCTTCTAAATTCAAGAGTAGATACTTTTCCAAATTGTATATTATAGACCATATAAGTCTTGATGCACGCGATATTCAGAAATCCCCAAAATAAATGGTACCACCACTTTCTAGATCTATGATTCATGCCATATGTGCCTCTTATATGTTTCTTCTAAACTGCTACTATGGAAGAACATTTATTATCGAGTCGTGATCTGTCTATCTGGGTTCTCTTTATTGTGGTTCCTTGGGTGTCAAGGAAGTTAAATGCAAAACGGACAATTCTATTACCCCTATACTTTAAAACTCTTTTATCTGTGTTTAAAACACGGTAGTCGCAGTTACCTTTATTCATATTATTGCCTTTTTCCATTTGTTTTAGAAATCCTGTTCTATCTTTCTGTACGGTACTACATGCTAGAACTTTCTTAAGTCTAAGTTCCTCGAAAAGGTTTATATAAATAAAGTAATTATCTGCATATCGAGGACGTCAATGAAGGACCTCGCAAGCTACGAAATGTGAATAATAAAATTGTTTCAAAATTTATAGACAGTACCGAGTATGCTAACGCTGCACAAATTAATTAAATAAAATATACTGCAAATGTTCTTTAATGAAAAATAGTTTGAAATGATAATTTTTAAATTTTTATTAGTTACGAGTAATATTATTAATTGACGAATTATTATTAATTTTTATAATCCTTCATTATATCAGTAGAAAACAAAATTAACTTATAAAATCTTATTATTTGTCACAAAAAATATAAATAAAAAATGTATTAAAATGCAGAGTGATTGAAATTGTTTCAAAAACATTTTAATTCGCAATATTATAATTTATTTAAAAGGTAAGTTGTCGTAGAACGGACAAATTTTTTTGGCAAACACTTTTTAATGTAGGTGGTCATATTTTATTTTAGTAATTTTAGGTTGCTCTTTGTACAAAGCAGAAAACACTACATTTGAGAATTTTTTATTTGGTCTTATCAGTCTTCAAACTCATACTCTAAGTTTAATTTGTAACGGATTTTGCCTTCAAAATATTCTGGGACACGGATGTCTGTTACTTGACTTCTTGTAGCATTGGATCCGGAAACACCATCTGGTCCTCAACCTGGTCTTATTGAGTGATACTTCAGAAGATCTTTACTTCCATAGTTTATGATCCATGTTTTTCACAGTGTAAGGCGACTTCGGTCTGGCTTCATTGGAAATTCTCATTAAATCACTTGATAAATATATTTCTTTATTCTTATAGGCGTGCTCGATGGAGCTGTGGACTGAATCACACTCCATCCACATCTGTCTTTTCTCTAAAAAAATTTAATGGATGAGTACATTGTATTTTGTTGCCATATATAGTAAAGCATTTGCTAAAAATGCGTTCCTGTTTTGGGCAGTGCAGCCGTCAGAATAAATCATAATTAGTAGCTTAGTAGAGAAAGAAAGTATGAATTTTTCTACGTAATCTACTAAAAAAGAGGCGTATGTTCAAGCTATACCATCAGCATTGCTTTCAATATGGCAGTAATATGCGACTTTATTTGTGGCAAGGTTATAAATGGTAGAGTTTTGTTTTGTAATATAAATTACTCGCTGGTAAATGTGGGGCTATTTTTACTGTTTGAACATCCATTGTGATGGTATGACATTCTCCTTGTAGCGCCTTTTCTTTATCAGTTTCCATCGATTATCTAGTTTGATATTTTCTGAGAATGTGCTTTTCATTGTTTTCTTCATCTTGATTTCCATTTTTGTACCTAAAACACAGATAACATTTATTTTTACGCGGTGTAAATATTGATAAATTCATCTCATCTGCCATATTTTTCTTCGAATGAAAAGTAAAAACATTCTTGTTTTTTTTCTTGCATTCAGATTGATACAATTTACACAAATCCATCCAAGACTGAAAGCATTGCACTAAGTATAGTCGGTTA